TGTTTCTGAAGAGAGCAGTTCATTTCAGAGGACTTTGTTTCCAAGGGAATCCAGCAAACACATCCTCTTAGTTCTGTGATGAATAAATGTCTGTCATGAGCTGAGCATTACAAGCTGCCATAAGCTGCTGTTTTTGTGCTCTGGAGGCTCTGACGCTGTGGAACATCTTTCTGATTCATGGGAATGCAATGCTCGGGTGGAAATCCAGGAGCTGAGCTGCTTTCTTGTCACTGGAGAATGGACTTTCCGTGCTTCTTAGCTGGGTTGTTCTTTTCCACATCACAGTTGTCCTCTAAGTGAAGTGATCCTCAGTTGGCAGAATTTTCATTTGGATWAATTGGGGTCTCAGTGTTGTTGTTTTGCCTTTTTGGGGTTCCTGAAAGAGAGTTTCTGTCTTGGAAGGTGTCGTTGCAGGGGAACACTGCGGAAAGGAACAATTATCATCATATATTTTCAGTAACTTGCAAAGCAAGTAATTACTAATGGTTTTTTTTTTTTTTTTTGCTTTGCTGTATGCACTGAGGTTTTGAGGTGTTTATAGGAATGTAAATTATGGTTCAYGTTGGCCACAGCTGTTACAGAAACATTGAACAATTGGGGCTTCCTGAAATGTGATCTGCTGCTGCTTTAATATACTATATTGGTTGGAGTTTGCCTTTCATTCCCAACAGATTTGACTCATGTTCCTAGAAACTTGCTTTCTTTGAAGCTTATTTCCAAATGTAAATAAAACTGCAACATGTGCTTGATGTTTTGGGCTGGAAAGAAYCTCAAATGAATTTCTGTAACACAGGCATGAGTGACTAAATGCTTCCCAAAAAYAAAGCAGCCTGATAAAGTCTTGAATTCACCTTAAACCAGCCAGTTCATCCTGAACTGCAATTATTACATTATTATTACATTATTAGTAGTTGTCTGGACATCTGTGTCCATGATGGATTGGTAGAAGTTGGCTTTGATGGGTTGTGCCATCCCTGAGCTCTGTGCTGCATGTGGTGTTTAGGGTCCCTGGTTTCCCTTTGTCCATGGGCCCATTTTTACTTTTATTTCTTTTTCAAGTTTTCAAGCTATTAGTGAGCCCTTGACAATGGCACCCTGGTGGTAATTCTTGCCAGAGTGGTCAAATTGAACATCTGCTGAAGTTTCAGTCGAGCACTGAGTTCACAGCATTGATTTTGCTGTGCAATGTCCCTTTTGACTTTCTTGTGACACTGTTTAGCAGAATTCAGTCAGACTGTCTGCAGTCCCACTTCCCACTGGGGCATGTKCCTGGCCTTGTCTGGTGCCATCTCTCTCCTTTCCTTCAACTCTCTTTAAAAAAACAGATTTTTCCCTCAATCTGTCAGCCCTTGTTTAAGTTTATTTTTAAACGGAAAGGGAGGTAACATACTGTGTAACTAAAAGCATCATCCTGTTTACTGTACACTTCCCTTAGGTTTCCTTCCAGTTCTTTTTGTGTTCTTTCAGTCTTAATCAGCCCAGAGGGAGAAAAAAATACTTGTACTTTATAAAAGTTCTCAGAGTCTTCAACTTTGGGGCCTAACAGAACTATTTTATGCTTTTTGTGGAAAAAATGTTGGTTATTAGCATGGACCTGTCAGGCCTTTCTTCCCTCACACAAAATAAATATTTGGAAAAAAGGATGAATGTTTTTGTTACAATCAGGTTTAAGCACAGTTGGTTTTTTTTACTGCATTTTTGTGGAGTGTGTAGATAATTTGTGGGATAAGTTAGGTAATCTGTTAATGCAGGTATAGACTTTGTCTTCTCACATTCTTGAATCTGTTTTGTTCTCTTTTAGGAAATGCCCAATTCTGTCTTTTTGGTCATGGAGGTATGTGTTRACATGTATGTTTGTTTCTGGTTGATTTTAAAGACTTTTAGACTCCTTTGCACAGCTGAAACTATGCTGAAACTAACCATGGCTTGCTAAAACAAGCAATTCTGAAAAGTAGATTATGTATTTCCTATGCCCCACTCAATTTTTCAGCACTGTTTGTTTCATAAATTTTTCCATTTCATTTAGAGTATTGATGAAGTGTTACACCTCAAATTATTAATTACAAATAATTAACTCAGTAATTTTAAGACAAACAGCTGGAAGGGATCTTATTTTCTTGAAAAGTTTGCAAAGTAAAAATGATGTAACAAGTGTTTCAGTATTTACGTTTTGAATAAAACCCTTTGTTTTTAACAGTACTGCAATGGTGGGGACTTGGCAGATTACTTACAAGGTAATTAATTACTGTATTTCCCTATTAAGAAGTTACTGCTTTATATATTTATAYTCTGTATTCCTGACACCCATGGATGTTTCTTCTGCTTGTCCTTTAAATATGGGTGAATGARGGTGAATGAAATAACAGACAGAAAATGCCTTTTTTTTTTGCCTCAGCTGAATGTAACATTCCCTTATTTGTCAATGAGGGAGAAGCTGTAGTTAACCATAAGTAGCAAGCTGAAAAATGTGTGGGTTTCTATTTCTAAAACTGCATTTTGGGGGCTGTTCCCAGTGTTTGGATTCCACCTGTTTTTCTTTTCCGAGATGTGAACTTAAAAACACTGATTTACTTATATAATAATGCTCTCAAAAAGAGGTAGTGCTGGCTGAGGAGAGATTTTCCATGGCTCTGCCCAAAGGGAGGACAGAATTTATAGAATCATGACAAATGGAYTCTTATTAAAACCAAAATTTTGAGCAGAGATGTTAATCTCTGTATTTTTCATGATGGAAATATTCTTCTACTTGCCCTTGTGTCTCAGTCTGTTGAAGGAACCTTTTTTGTGCACAGCTATTGTTATGGTAACTGTGTATATTAAAAGCCTAATTCACTTGCCATTAAAACCTTTGGAAAGGCTCAGAGAGTGAAATCCAGCTCCTGTGTTCAGTGCTTTTGCAGGCTGCAGAATGAGATAATACCTTCTGAAGAGACTCTCAAAAGTACATCTCATTTTTTTCCTTTCAAAGTAAGTTTTATCATGGATGAAATTTCTGAGCARAGTGGTTCTCAGCATCCCTATAACGTTTTGTTTAAAGAACAAATTTTATGGCTTCAGGTTTTAACATGATTTTTGGATACACTTAATGTGAAGTTCTTTTATTTTCTTATCTCCTTTACCTGTTTTAGCCAGCCTGTTTTTAGGGTTTGATGGTGATTGAGAAGTTTGACAATTATGTTGCTACCAAGTTGAATAAACTACTGTAAAAAATATATAAAAAAATAAATAAAAACAGATGATCCAGAGTTCTGTAGCTGCTGTAAAACTATGATGTCTATATTGTTGAGAAYATTTACATTTGTAGAAAAACGCTGGAGACTGGATCATTCTGAGTGTAAATCATAATGATTAGGTTATAATTCACTATATTTTCTATTGATCACTGTGAAGTTTATTACTTTTATCCAAAGATACTGATATTTCTTCTTCTCCCTGCTCTTTTGTGTGCCATTCCCAGCTAAGGGGACTCTSAGTGAGGACACCATCCGAGTGTTCCTGCAGCAGATTGCAGCAGCCATGCGCATCCTGCACAGCAAAGGCATCATCCACAGGGATCTCAAACCYCAGAACATTTTGTTGTCCTATGTCAGCCGGAGGAAATCCAGTGTCAGTGGCATACGCATCAAAATAGGTAAATTTTCTCTGATTGGAAGGGTAAATCAGCACTGTTGGATTGTTTCCCTCCTCAGAAATGTCTCTCTAGCTCAAGTACTGGATATGGAGTGTGTTCAATTGATGCAAATCAGACAGCAAGTCAAGAATGATGAGCTTCATGCTGTGGTGCAGATTCTCAGAATAAAAAAGATTGAATCATGAATCATAATTTTTCATTAAACTCGCAGGACAAAGAAATCTATTCAGCTGGTGTTTCTAGTATTAAACTATTTTGATTAGACATAAATCTCTAACTTTTGAAACTTGGAGTAGCCTTTAGCCCATTTCAAAACTGTGTATATGCAAGACTCTAATTGCAGTTCCAGCTGTTTGCTTTTTTAATGGTAGACCCTCCTAAGGGTTATTTGAGAGGTTTAGAAATGAAGGTTATGACCTATTTTTGGCATGGCAGAAGGGAGGTTTGGCCTTGTAACAGGGGAGAGATGTCAAATATTCAGGACACAACCARACTGTTCTTCAGAGGCCACTTCAGGAGTTTTAATGACTCCTTGTTATCTGTTAAATATTCATCTAAAAATACCTTGTTTTTAACAAATTCTTTCCTATGCTTTTGCTCAAAACCTGCACAGGGGAGACAAAACTTCTTCCCTTGCTGTCCTTACTTGATTGCTTTAGATGCTTTTGCCTGCATGGAAAATTGAGGCACCTGAAACTTGACTTCTTAAACTTGTACCTGATGTGATTTCACTGCAGGCAGATTGTATATTCATCACTCTTAATGAGCCATTTATATTTAGCCAGTGACTTTAATCCTCTCCTGCTGACGCCAGACAGGCTGTTCTGCAGCTGGGGAGGTGGCTGAGCAGCAGTTTGTGCAAGTGATGTCACTGCTGTTTCTTGGCTTGCTCATTTGAAAAAGAATAAATATATTATTCTTTCTSCATGATTCTACTACTCCATTTAACTGCCTATATATTAAATCTGTCTTTTTTCAGTAGCCCTATCCATTGTAGCAAATTTTAAGAAGAGACAGGTGATTTCTAGACTGTAAAAATCTGTCAAAATTTGAAAATTATCTTTTTTTTTCATTGACCAGTGTTATTTTTTACACAGCTGACTTTGGGTTTGCTCGTTATCTGCACAGCAACATGATGGCTGCAACTCTGTGTGGTTCCCCCATGTACATGGTAAGGGACATTTCACATTATCTTGCTTATCTCATTCTCCTGCCAGAACAACATAATTGACTGCTTGCAGATTGTCATATACCTCATGTTGCTTTACAAATATCAGGGACAGAGTGCAGTTCCCCTTTCCATAGTTTTACTGCCTTATTTTTTGGGGGGTTTGTAGATTGTGATTGTTAAAATCAGAGAGACATTGAACACTTCTTAGTGGTTCTTTGTCCAAAAGGAGAATTGCATGAGCCAAGTAAATAACACTTCCCTCTTCWTCCCAAACATGCCAAACGCTGGATACTTTCTTTGAAACATCAGCATTTGTAGGGTTTTTTGTGATTTTGAAACACAGCTTTCATTTTAGAAGGAGCTGTTACCTCTCAAGCCATGTGATGCACATGAAAATGTTWATTTTCTCTTACAATAAAAAGGTCCCTGTTAATACTGCTCTGACAGTGGATTCATATTACCGTGACTTTGCTTTTCCTTTTCCCTTCTGAGACTTTGCTGTTCTTTCCAGGCCCCTGAAGTGATTATGTCTCAACACTAYGATGCTAAAGCAGACCTGTGGAGCATAGGAACTGTGATTTATCAGTGTCTTGTTGGAAAACCACCTTTTCAGGTAACATTTTATCTCTTTTTCTCTCTTCTCAATGTGAAGGAGGTTCCTRGGGTTCTTGCTTCTAGTCAGGAAAGCAGAAGCAAGTGTGAGTGTAGTGTTGGTGCTGCAAAGGCTTGAGAATACCAAAACAGGAAGTTGTTTATGCTTAGTCTGCATGATCAGTGTGTTCAATCCAGAGAAAATACATAAATAAGGCTCCTCAGTGCTGAAGGAGTGCTCTGCTTGGTGTTTTCTCCTTTAGTGCCCATATGCAAAAGCCTCCTTTTTGTGTATGTGTGCTTAGATACAAAAGCTATTTCCTCCATGAAACTGAGCTTTAATTAACATACATTTTTGTTTGACAGGCCAATAGTCCTCAAGATTTGAGAATGTTTTATGAAAAGAACAGGAATTTGATTCCTAGGTATGTCACCATGGCCTTTCCTGTAGCTTGCACTTGTTGATTGAACACTTTTTCATCTTGGGGAATGTCTGGGATTCATAAAAATATTTACTGTTGCTCTCTTGACAAGGATRTAGTGTGATACCAGTGAGTCATGTTGCATCTTGCCTTCATTGCACCTGGCTGAAATTAAGTGTACTAAGGCTAGAAAGCACGGATAGTGATGACTTCAGGATGTGGCAAAATGCTGATTTCCTGAAATTCAATGTGCTTTGCATTATTCAACGCATGCATTAAATTTAATACATGTTTTTATTTCCTCTTTTGTGCAGCATTCCTAGGGAAACATCAGCTTACCTGGCTGATCTGCTGTTGGGTTTGCTTCAGAGAAACCAAAAAGACAGAATGGACTTTGGTATGCATTTTTTTTTCTCTTGCTCTCTTGACTTTCCTTGTTAGTTGTATTCATGTGACCAGAATAATTAACTTGACCTTTTGTCTACAGCCAATTACATCAAAAGTGAAGTGGTTTTTTTTTTCTTCTGTTTTCATAAAGAAGACAGAGTAGCTAAAATAAATCMCTGGATAACTACTATCAGTATTAAGTGATGCATATAAATCATGACCTKGCTGTTGAGGAGTGAAATATAAATCAGTTTTATTCTTTCAGCTGTGCCCTTCTAGGCTTTACTGCTATACCTTAAATTTCATCTTGAAGTCTTACTCTGTTACTTTAACTGGTGTTTTGGCATCAGATTGGGAGCAAACATTTCTGATCTCCATGTGGTTATAGGAATGTAACAAAATACTGGAAGAAACCACTTTGGAAACGCACTGTTGAAAAGTTAAATCTTGATAAATTCTTCTTAGCTGCATCTTGTATGTCATGATATTCATGGTAGTTATTTAAATTTCATAGCACTACTTGTTAATGCAGTTTTATCATAGCTGCCAGGAAATCTTAATCTTAAAATTTTAGTTCAGATMCAGAAAAAGCTCATGATAATTGGGTAAAATATCACCAATTATATTGACACTATCCAGAGGTCAATATATAAATCTCTATGTGTAGGTGAAATAATACATCACAAACATGAACTGTGAGTAATTGATTCCACTCTGCACTCTGGGTGTGCTGATCCCTACAGTTTCTTCAAACATGGGAAATTCGCCGTATCACTTGTGGTGGTGGGAGAAAGCATTTGTGCTTAGAAAGAAAAATAGAAAGCAGAATGGCAGTGATGAAAGTCATGTTTTCCTTGGCTGAGCCACTTAAAGGGCCTCAAAGGGGCTGYTCTGGAATGTGCTTAGCAAAGGGAGTGAAAGGGAGAGTTTAGAACTGAGCCCAGTCGCCTGTTGTTAAAGTAAAAATAGYCCTGGAAATCTTGTTGATCTTCCAGCAAATATAAAGTAGAACAGCAGGTGTTGTACAAAAGCTGGAGAGCACCTGATCCTCATGTTAAAGTTAATAATTACATTGTTCAGGCATTACAGCTGGATTTCTTCCCTTATCRGGTCATGGAGGAAAGTGTTGCTGAAGGGAGATACTGCAGACCTCAGATTCTTTCTCTTTTTTTTCCCTCCTTGTTATTTGCTTATGTCTGAGGCACAGCATTGTTTTTCCTTGAGTGTTAGGACATTAAAGTTCACCCAGCTCAGCAGCTGGCTCCCACCAGCCCTCAAATTCCCTGAACCAGCTGAACAAAACTTTCCATGTAACCTGGTGGCCAACTGGTTATGCTCAATTAAAAGTGCCTCAGCATATCCATTTACAACAAAAGCAAAGTGTTTCTATTGTAACAACAGCGAGTTAACTGAGGAAATTGTTAAAGAAATGGTGTCTAATTCTGCTTTGTCCCATGAACTGGCTGCACAGGTCATGTTCTACTGTTGGGAAGTGGAAAGTGGTTCCCTCAATCCTYGGGAAAGGCAGAGCTGGAAAATACTTTCAGTGTCTGATGTGAAAGATGCTCCCTGTTTTGAAGAGCAGACTAAAACTGAATTACCAGCACAGAGAACATAATTTCCTCAGCAGTATGGGAAGGTTTCTTGTGTACATGGCTTTRTGTGCAGTCATAAGATGTCCTCCAGTGATTCAGTCTGATTTGCCTTGCTGACTGATGTTTGAAGTTATTCAGTTGATTCTTGTTTCCTTTCCAAACTCTATAGCAGCACATAACATAGAAAGCTTTAATCTTTTATAAGCTCTTCACCCTCTGGCTCTGCAATGTTGATTCTGGAAAAGGCAACCTTTTATCACCATCTGCAATATAGTCTGTAAATTCTGTCATTTGTACATCTACTCACAAAGGTGGTTGTTTCTTGTTCTACAGAAGCATTTTTCAACCACCCTTTCCTGGATCATGTCTCAACAGTCAAAAAATGTAAGTAGGACTGGGTTGTTTTTTTTTTTTCCTCTTATTTGTGTAAATRATGAATGTTGAGGGCTGGGAGGGAGAAAGATCTGCCAAATATCACACTAAGTGTTTATGAGACATTTTCCTCAGCCTGCCTGTTGTTGTGTTCTATTATGAGTCTGAGTGTTGAATCCTTTYTTGTATTATGCCAGACTGAAATGTGATACTTATTTACTTGTTCTTTTGACGTTTCAACTGAACTTAAATACCCTCGTGTGATTGAGGATGTGCTGTTCTTACAAGCTCTGTAAGGACTTGTGAATGAGAAGCTATGAGGAAATTTGTTTGAAATTCAGCCTTTTGAAGTCTTAGTCCCTCTTTTTTTTTTTTTCCCCCTCTGGGTTTTTCTCTTTTAGCTTGTCCTGTACCAGTGCCCACGTACCCAGGCTCAGTCTCTGGCAGTTCCTGTGGTAGCTCTCCTTGTCGCTTTGCTTCTCCTCCAGTAAGTTCTGTGTTACACAACCATCTCCAGAAAATATTTTCTGTAATGTTTAGCCAAGAATTCATTAATTTTTTAGGTATTTTAATTCTTGCACACTGTTAACTGTCATGTTTAGGACCAGAGAACAAGGAGCACCCCTGTCTTTTCCTTAAATACCAYTAACATTTTGGTGCTCTCTTGCTCYTTGTRGGGTTTTTGTTGTTCTTTTTAGTTAAGGTAAAAATACATATGAGTATCAAATGCCAGAGCARCAAATCTTTAGATATTCTAATGTGGTTTGCAATGTAATTGCTGTTACAGATAAATTTTGARTTGACCCTTTTGGCTAACAAACCATTGACTTCAATGTTGTGTGACATTTGGAACAGGTACATCTGTATCATCAGGAATGATAGAATAAATCACAATTGCTTAAACTCACAGCCTGATCAATAAAAACTGTCTAAACTGRCACTGCAGGGTTATCCAGTATTTACAATTTCATGGTTAAAAGCATTTCTACTTTCTGAATCTACTTTCTGGATTTACAGTGGGTTTTTTTTACTTTCTTTTTCCCACCATCCCCCTCCAGTCTCTGCCAGACATGCAGCACATTCAAGAAGAAAATTTGTCTTCCCCTCCACTGGGTCCTCCTAACTATCTTCAAGTCTCTAAAGACTCTGCCAGTACCAGTAGCAAGAACTCCTCTTGTGACACAGATGACTTTGTTCTTGTCCCACACAATATCTCTTCAGACCACTCGTGTAAGAACTTTACTTATTTTTACATCTCAAACCAATTTTCATTCATAACATACATCTATGTCCTGTTATTCTTTGTCTCTCTCTGCTCTAAATGTGTCTGAATTYGCACTGGAATTAATTTCTGTAGTTTGATTATTCTTTGGAGGGAAACTCTTTGGTACTGCACATCCATCTGGAACATTTTCATTTTCCATTCAGCAGCCAAATATGCAATAGGGGTGGGTTAAAGTCATGGAAAATAGTGGGGCTTGGCTGTAGAAAAAGATTCAGTTGTAAACAACTGCTGATAAGAGACCCAAGGATTCTCTTGGAATTCTTTGTGGAAGCAGGCACTTTGTTTCCTCCTGACTAAGAGAACATTTATAACTCATGCTCTAGAGCTTTAAATACCAAGCTAAAAACAAAAAACACTTCTAACATGAAAGGTAAAACATCAGCCTGGGTTTATGCAAAGGAAAGACTTGGATGTAGCACTTTTATGACACRGTCCCAACCCCAATTGCACAAAGCTGATTTCTGGGCAACGCCACCAACTTGTGGTAAATATTTGACTAAATTACTGCCTGAAGGGTTTCTGTCATTCATTGTTGTAAACATCCCAGTGCTGATACCTTGTACTTTTAAACAATGGATTTTATTTCAAAATTAATTATAATTAATATGTTAAAAAAAAACAAACAAACAGCAAAATAACTTGGTAAACAACTCCCCTCCCCAGTTCCATTTTTATTGGTAGTCACATTTGAGATATTTTCCTACAAAAAGCCATTTGTGGAGAGCTTTCATACGTTCACAGAAGTGTTTTTTCTTACAACAGCAATATTGGAGGTTTAATTTTTTGGTGTGATTCTGCTTCCTGACGTGGGTTTTCCATGTGTTCCCTCCTGCAGATGATATGCCTTTGGGAGCAGCTGGCAGGCGGGCTTCCAGCGAGTTCTTGATGTGTGGAGGGTAGGTGTGCTGAGCTTCATCCAAAAGAAACCTCTTTCTTCTTCTAAAACTGATGCTGCAACTGCACTAGGGGGTTCTGGGGTTTTGGCACTGCTGGGTTTTCAGAGCTCTGTAGACTKTGTAAAAATTAATAAGAATTTAATTTGAGTATCTAAACATCTTGAATTTAGGAAGTTTTGCTGCCAAGTGGAGAGTTTCACTGATCTGAGGACCTGTCTCTTGACAGTGGTTTTTGTTTTTACAGGCAGTCACCATTAACTATTTCTGGAAGCTCAGGAAMTGTACAGAAACCATCCTCAGCCTCTTCTCGAAGTGCTGCTTCTGGTACAGCCAACAGGTGTGTGATGTGACCTTAGTACKTCCTTGTCTTTTTAGAAGATCTCTCCTGTTATATGTTTTGGCTTTTTTAGTTTCTTTTTTTAATTGTGAAACTGGACTAAAATAGAACCAGTCCTCTTTTTCCAGCCTCTCTACACTTCATGCCTTTCTGGTGCATCCCCAAAACATTTCTTTAAGGARAGAGAACATTCTTTGTTTAAATTTTGAACTGTTTGAAAGCAGAAATTTAGGGACATAGCTGGCTTTTTTGGTGTTGTGAAGCACAGCACAGCCTTCATGTAGTGAGTCAAGATGTTGAATGCAGATACATTTTAAGAAGCAGTTGTGAAAGAAGAGGAACTYTGAAAGCCCAGATTGCTGTGGGTTTGAGTCTAGTGGCTGGCTTGGTTTGTGTCTGGTCACTGGGTGTGGCTTTTGTGCCAGTGACTATTGTGAATTTCGTGGTTGTGTCTCACAAGATGCCAAAGTCACATGAAGGAGCTAAACATGTATTGCAGGTTTTCCATCAGCAGGACTGGTAATTAGTCCCCTTTCTTCCACATGGCTGTAGGCTGCAGTTTCTGCTGGTTTAAAATAGAACTGATTTTCATCAGTGGTGCCTGAAATCTTTCCTGTCTTATACTGGAAAATGTGAAGCTTAATTATGGTGTGTTTATATCTAAGCAGAATTTGTTCAAGTGATGAATTTTGATGTTTTCAGTACAAACAGGAAGAGGATSAGTGGCTAACTGGGGAATAAAGCTATTATGTTGGGTGCATTTTTGGCTTGTGCCAGTACTAGAGGGCTGCAAGTCAGCATTATTTGTTTAGAAATGCTTGTCACAAGAAAAGTTTGCTACTTTGTGCTGATCTTTGTGCAGTGGGTGAAATCTGCTGACAGSGGCTGTCGATACAGCTTTTAGTCTTATGTTTTATGTTTAAGGGCAAATAATGGGGATGGTTTGCCTGTGGAGATCCATTTGCTCTGAATTGACCATGTACAATGTACTATAAATACGTTGTAGTTTCCTATTTTAAATTGTGTCAAGCAGAGTTTTTAGAATTAGAAGTTTTATGAAAATATTCTGGTTATGTTATCTGTACATTATTAAKAGTTAAATGGTCATGTAATTAGAAACAGGTGCTTACTGTTCACACTCAGTGTTTGTACTATAATAGTTTGATTTAATTATTGGCTGAGTGAATTCAGTAATTGCATTTGGTGCTGCTTGGGGCAGAGTATGTGTCTGGTATTCTACAAGATTCTGGTTTTGGTTTTGGGGTTTGGTTTTTTTATTTCCTGACAAATGTTCTTTCATTGTTTGTGGGTTGTTTCTTTTAGTTTTCTGGTGTTTCACAGAAGGTTATGCCCTGTGAAACAGTGAATCTTTCTGATTAGCTGATGAAACTGAATTAATTGTGCCCATAGTTATGSTGTGTGTCTTCATAGACAGTCTTCAGCCAGAATGGGCAGATTAGGTCGAGGTGGTTCTCTCTCCAGTGGTTTATTACCGACTTTATTCTCTAAATCTCAGAGAAACAAGATTTGCATGCAGCTCTGCACACATCTGTACTGCATTTTCTGTGACTGGTAACAAACCATGTCAGACTGGAGGATGCCTGGCCAGAGCTCAGCTTTGGGCTTGAGCTGGGGAGCCCTGGCAGGGCTGTGCCTCTGCTCCCCACTAACACAGCACTGCTGCCTCCTGTTGGCTCACAGCTGTTGCCTGGACATAYCTGCAAGGCTGTGTGACAGCAGGCAAAGGCATTTTCTGTGCTGACTTCTTTGAAAGTTGAAGTGTCTTCAWGATCTCCTCACTGCCACAGTTTAAAGAGCATCTGCTTCCCTCTCCTGGGGCAGAGGCTCCCAGTGCTCCCTGAGTGTGCTGTGTCCTCATGGCAAGTTGCCCACAGCYTTCCTGTGGTTTCCACTTGGGAGTCCTTCTTCTTGCCTGGAAGTTTTCAGGCTTTCTGCTGACTGTGTGCCCACAGCCGACTTCCAAATTACTCTGTGGGATCCAGAAACTGGGTGGCAATAGCAGGACAAATTTATTTTCCTTTGCTAAGGAAGTTCTGTGCCTATTAGGAAGTAATATTTCATTCTAAGAGGTAGCAAAGAGAATAGGAAAAATACAGTAAAAAAAAAATATTTCTGTCCAGCTGGAGCCACAGTGAGTACTGTAACTGCCTGTCTTCAAGAGCTTATGATTGAATTTTTTCACATTTCTTCTAAGAAATAGTAATCTTTCTATAAAGACACAGTCAATAAAGGACCAGATAGCGAAGTGATTATCTTCCAAAGAGCCCATTTGTTTGAAATACTTTCCGTTGAAATCTGTTTTCCTTTAAAAGTGCTGGTTACTGATTACATGCAGTGGTTGTAGTTCCTTATCAGGAGCCACGCTGAGGCGAGGCAGGTCACTGACACTCCAGCTGAACTTGGGCAATCTGCAGTTGGAATCTGGGGATTAATGTTCAGGTGTGTGGTTTTGCTCCTCCTGTCAGGGGCTGGTTATTACATAACATGTTTTCCTCTCGCAAGTTCACAGTGTCTCTCAGGATATCTCTGCCTGTGCTTTGGTGGCTTTTGTCCACATTCCAGCCCTGCTCTGAACTTCCTGTCCCTGGCGCTCTGGGTTTTCCTAGAACGCTATTTTCAAGTGTGGTAAACACAGCGGGCAGCTTGGCAGGGAGTCAGAGGGATCTGGAGATCTCACTGATGTGTGACCAAGGGCTGATTYGCAGCTCCACGTGATCCCAGCCAGTGCAGGGAAGGCAGGTAGTCCTGAGCAGTTCCTAATCTTCCTCTGTGCAGCATTGGAGCTGGGTGAGGACAAGCTGAGATCACGGCTCACTCAGGGAGCGCAGAAGAAGTTTATTTGCCTGTTTCCTAGATTTTCTTGAAATTGCTACAGTACAATCCTGAGAGTGAGACCTGTCTACCTGTATTCATCTCCTGTCTCCACACCTTCCAACTTCAGGCACTGTCAGCCTTCTGTGTCCCCCCGCAGCGAGACGGCGCCGATCCCGGTTCCCACCCAGCTACGGAATTACCAGCGCATAGAACAGAACCTCTCCTCCACTGCCAGCCCCGTGTCAAACCCCCACGGATCACCCAGGTGAGCCTGGGCTTTTTAACTCCTTTCTCTTGGGTCTGGTTGGTGTTTGTATCCTGGCAGATGTCCCTGCTTTCTGGCTGATGTCATTTTTTTTCCACACTAAAGAGACATTTTGATGGTAACAAATAATAGCCCTTCACAATCTCAAGATTGTTGGATGGCCACTTGAAATATTTCATGRAAACAAAATGAGCTTGTTCTTTCACTCAAAATGCATCCCAAGAAGGTAAAAAGATGAAGTCTTGCCTTTTTCTGCTCTTTGTGTATTGCATGGCATTACATCATGAACTGGAATGTCAGTWATAAGTTATGTTTTGTTTTCACACATGTAGCGATGAGATGAGTGCTTTGTTCTGGAGAATATCAAGGAAACAATTTTTGGCATGCTAATTAACCAGCTTGTCTCATTACAAAGCTTTAGTGAGCCAGGCTTATTCTCTGCCTTGTGGTCTACAGGATCAGGATGGTGAAGGTCAAAGACTCATAAATAGACTACTCAGAACTCTGGWGATCTTTACAAAAACAAAACCCAGGGTTTCTTGCATATTTTTTTCCAGGATCTCTGATTTGATTATAGTTGCTGGATTCAGGGAAATGCCTTTGCCTTAAATAATCTGGTTTTAGTTATCTCATCTGTATATCAGACCAATGTGAAAATTTCACTGATTTAAAAATGGGCAGTTGCAGCAATACTTGGTTGTGAAATAAAAAATKTGATTATCAAATTGTTTGAAGATAAGGGAAAACTGTTTTAATGTTCTCCAGTTAACAGACTGTTATGACATTGAAAGTTTCAAAGCCTWTGTGAACACAGGAAGTTAAATCTTGATTATTGTCAGCATGGAAAGCTTAGCTTGAGTTCTTAGCTTTCTCTTTAAATACCAGTATTTCCTTTAACTGATCAGACTCCTCAGGAGATTCTGAAGCTTTTTACAAGGGACTAGTGACCATACTGTGTGTGTGACCATTGCTTTACCTTGCCAGAGCTGGAGTTGTGAGACGCTCCAACACCAGCCCAATGGGTTTCATGAAGATGGGCTCGTGCTCCCCAGTGCCAGCTGACACTGCCCAGGGTGTTGGGCGCAGGCTGTCCACAGGATCTTCCAGACCATATTCTCCTTCACCACTAGGTAAGCACAGGAATCCTTAGCAATTAGTAAAGCTTTATCTGGAGCAGTCATTCAGAACTCTAATTCTTGCTTGAAATTAATCTGAAACCACAATCTGCCCAGATAGGTCAKGTGTGCAGAAATAATTTCTGTTAAATGGTTCACAGAAGTTAACTAACCAGGTTTTCACTTGCTTTATTTTTGTAAGTGGATTATAAACTGTAAATCCACTTTTTGGTTTTGTTTGCYTAGTTGGAACCATACCTGAGCAGCTTGGGCACTGTTGTTGTGGACAACTCCAAGGACATGAATCAAGGAGTAGAAACTTCTCAGGTGAGTGATTTTGGACAGTTCAATCAGTGTTATTTTGATAACACTGCATTTTTGTGAAGGGGAGGAGAGCCAACACACATCAGTGTGGGCTGACAGGAGACACTGGGTAAGTGGTGCACTGAGATTTTGGGGAAACAGCCCAGCTGTTGGGCCTGTGTGACACTTTGCCCATAATTAATTCCCTACACAATAAAACARCAACTGAAATTTCTTATTCTCAAGATGAAAAAGCAACTCTGCTGAAGCCTGTCTTTAAACAGGGATGGTCTATAATGAGTGGTAGTRACATGCAGAACAGAATCTGGTTTTGATAGACCAGCTCTGTCATGCCAGTTCTCAGAAAAGGGAGGAAGAGCTGCCAGTGTACAACACGCAACACGTTTTCGTCATTCCCTTGGGAAATCGACTGGGATCTGATGTTACTGTTGCTAAGCAGTCAGCAAGCTTTGCAAGTCATAAATTATTATGGCATGCCAGCAGGAAAAAAAAAATCAGGAAGAAATAGGACTTGAAGATGTTCTGAGACTGTTAAAGATGGAATTGCACTGTAATGCCAGAAGGATTGGGTATAAGAATATGCAATTCAGCAACTTGTTCTTCTTCTCTGTGCACATTTTGGGTGCATTTTCTTCTTGAAAACACTGGTTTTACTTTTTGTTTTGGCTTTCTAAGATGTGTTGAAACGGCATTGTGTGGTTTTCCCCTATTTCAACACCTGTCCAAAATCATGGGGAGGTGATAGAGCCTTCATTTCTTGGAGCAGMCATGTCTGGGAATGCTTTCATCCATATGAAATAAATTGTATGATGTGTCTCMAAAATTGCCTTTATAATTGCTGTGCCATTAGCTGGTTCAACAAAAGGAATGAGTGAATCCTTAGATTTGAAGTAGTCTCTTAAAAAGTGAAAAAGGGTGYGTGGGAAGAGAATACAGAGCTGTTTGCTTTTCTTGTTGCAACTTTTCTTTGGATAGAATTTTGTCAGGCTGTTGGTTTASTGCCTTTTGCCAGTATCAAACTGACTTGTACTTATAACACACCACAGCACTGTTTTTATGGCTGGCAGGGGTTTTAATGTTTCATTTCTTCATATGTTTTCTGCATTCTTTTCCTCCTTGGCTTCATTTCTTAATTTCAAATTACTGCAGTGGCATTTCTATTTGTACAATACCACAAATTGCAGCGAGTCTGTTTCTCAGCATTTAAGTGGGTATGGGAAGCCGCTTTTTGCTTTGGGTGAGGTGAGGTCATCTGAATTGAGATTTTTCTAAGGACTGAAGATGTCTTTCGTAATGGAGCTTCTGAACTAATTGAGCTGTTCTTGCTGCCAGTGGCAGCAGAGGACACACTTTTAATTCAGAAGCCTTCCCTGGGGTGGAAACAATACTGGAACAGTAACCAGCGCGATTTCAGAGGATTCTAAAACGACAGGTGAGGACTTTCAGTGCTGTGAGACAGACAAGCAGAGGGATTTCAGGCAAGCAAATTCTTGGCTGGAAATTAATGAGAAATAGGCTTGATCCCTCTTCTAGGGCTGTAGGCAGACAGGCTGTTCTGAAACGTACTGCTTAATGGAGTGGAATGAAATCAAGATGAAGTAGCTCATATTCAAAATCCAACTAGCAAAAAAYATGGGCTTAAGAAGGCTGAAAGATGTCGTAACAGCTGGGCATTTACTGAACAAACTGCAAGAAGTTCGTGGTGGTTTTTTTTAAGCAGACATTTATGAAATGAAGCCCATCCCTGAAGATTCTCGTGGCCTGCTTTTAAAAACCTTCTCTAGCTGTATGGTTCATTTTCAGTTTTTCCCTTTTTTTTTTTTTTTTTTTTTTTTTTATTTTTTTTTTTTTTTTTTTTTTTTTAAACATGATTGCAAGTGTCACTTCAGTGTCAGTTCTTTGAGGTTACAGACAGGCATTTTCTCTGGGAAGCTGTGACCCTAAAGCTGAAGTTTTATGTATTGTTTGTAACTTTGCACAGTTCCTTRTCATGAGACATAAAAACATATACAACAGAACAGAACATTTCATCAAATTTTGAGTTCCTTATTTTGAAAGAGGAAGGGCACCTATGGGTAGGTGAGGTGTTTATAAGAAATAGTTCCCCARAGCCCTCTGCTTAAATAACAACTTAGAGCTCTCCCCTCTGCGTTAGGAGCAACTTTACACTCGTACCTAAGTGTGGACTTCCCTTGTCAGCTTTTAAAAAAAGATTCAGTCTGACAGACTAAAAAGTAAATGACTGCTCAAAGTAACATCCCCAACCTGCTCCAACTGAATAATTTGGTTCTTTTTATTACTTAGTTTTCTTGCAGGAACATGAGCTGCCTTTGTGTCTGCAAATGAAGTCATTATACACAGAACAAGCCATTAGCATGCAATGTCATATTCACGCACTTGTTTGCAAGAATATAATTCCAGGGCTTGAGAACCTCTATTCAGCTTGGAATTTCAGTGCTGGTTATGCCATTCCTGCTGAATCCAACCACTTTATTGGTCTTGGTGCAGGTTGCCAGATGTACTGCAGCTGCCAGGACAGCTGTCAGCCTGAAATGGTGCCTATTTGGCAGCTTGAGGGTCTCATCAGTGTGRTGGAGCAATAGTCCAAATAATCCAAGGGCTAATTCCATTCTCCTTGCCATCTAGTGAGCTAATGATCAAACACAGTTCAGTATTTGCAGTTTAATGTTGTTCTCTGGAATTCTGGGTTCCATCAAGCACTGCAAGTAGAATTTTACCTTTTTGTTTGTCATCTCCACAGGTTCTCCAATACCACCATCTCAGTCTCCGCAGTCACTTCTGATGGGAGCGAGGTTGCAGAGTGCTCCTACTCTGACCGATATCTACCAAAACAAGCAGAAGCTCAGAAAGCAGCATTCAGACCCAGTCTGCCCATCCTATGCTGGGTATGGATACAGCCATTCTCCACAGCCAAGCAGGCCAGGTAGCCTGGGAACATCTCCTACCAAGCACATGGGATCCTCACCCAGGAGCTCAGACTGGCTCTTCAAAACCCCACTGCCAACCATCATCGGCTCTCCCACTAAGGTTTGTTACATTTGCTATGTTCAGTATGAGATGAAGTGATGGTAGCACAGTGCCTGAAATCAAKAATATTTTGGGGTTTTAATTTTGGGGTTTTGTGTGCTCTTGATTCTTAAAGGCAACAGCTCCTTTCAAAATACCTAAAACTCAAGCGTCCTCCAACTTGTTGGCCCTGGCGAATCGCCAGGGCTTGGCTGAAACCCCGCTGCAGCCTAAAGATATCACTGACCCGAGGGACTTCACACACTTCCACTCCACYCAGGCAGCTGACAAACAGGCAGGAGAGCAGCACAGCAAAACCACCTTTGGCAGGTAGGCACTGCAGGGTTCATAACCTGTCCTTTGGGGAGCAGAACTGCACGCAGCAACTCTCAGAGGGCGAGCGAGCCGTGAGGGGATGCTGAGGTTTCGTGTGTGCAACAGAAACATTTTGTACCAGCTATAAATATAGCAGAGACTTCCTGGAGCACTTCGAGTTGCTGTCTAGTTCCCTTTTGTTTTGATAATCTGCATCTGGAATTTAATTGCCTCTGTAAAGCCTGTTCAGTTTTYGCTTAAAAATCTCTCTGACAAAATTTGCAATGTAATTTTTTTCAGAGAAAAAGGTCTCTTTATTTTTATAGTTTGCTCTATTTTAGTAGATCCATGATAATGAGAAAGACTTCAATACTTTCTCTATTTTTGTTGAAAAATTCTCTGTAGTAAATACCAAGAATCTTAGTCATCCTTAGYTGCAAGTTGGATGACATTACTGAATAACTTTTTTTTTGGGGAATTTATGTGTTTTCTTGTTCAGATCTGTTAGTACTGGGAAGCTGTCAGATCAACAGGTAAAGACCACCCTTGGGGGCCAGTTATACCAAGGCAGCACAGACAGCCTCAACACAGAGAGGCCAATGGACACAGGTAAGAATCAGAGTGATACATCCAAGCTGTCTCCATGTGCCTGGGTTTTTAGGGAATGCCAGCTGGATCACAGTTCTGTTTCCARCTTCGATAATTGGTTCTGACAATTTTTAGCCTCAGCACAGAAGGGTTTTTTCAATGTTTAAGGGGATCTGTTCCATTTCTTTAGCATGGCTTTAAAAATAACTGAGACAGGAAAATATCTATTTCTGTGCTAAACACAGAAATATCTCAACTGCCTATACTGGCTGGAGGGGTTTGGGATTTTCTGGTTTGGTTTTATTTTTAATTCAGCATTTGTGGCTTTTCATTTCCTAATTCCACTTTGATTTTATGTGAAAGGCAGTTTATGTAATTCTGGGTGTTTGGTTGGTTTTTTTCTCCTCTTCCCTGTGCTTGTCCCTTGCCACCACAAGTTCTCACTTCTGAACAGATGGAATGAGTTCTGCAGACAGGGCTGGTCTGTACCCTCCAGACCTGTCATGATCTGCCTTCAGAATTTTTCTGTTGTATCTTTTGCTGCAAAACTCACATCTTCAGGCTCTCAGGGAGTCTCTGTTGCTCTTTTCTGGCTGAGAGTAGAACATTGAAAGAGACACTGAAAGTAAAAAGATATGTATAAAGTGCACCTTTATGGTTTTTTTTGTGTCTCACCAAGACTGCCCACTCAGCTTGTTTTATTTCCTGTTAGAACCTCTAACTAGTCCAGGGCTTGGATCTGCATCAAAGCACGTTGTGTTGCAGTGCTCCAGTTTGCTGCATGTAATAATTTCTTGGTGTGATTATATGGAGCAGGGGCTAACTTGCTGAAATGTTCTCTCCCAGCTCCAGCAGGAGCCTATGGAATAGCGATGGCAACTCCATCCATGGCAAGTGGGGCAAGTTCTCGRGCTGTCATGTTCACTGTGGGGTCCCCTCCAAGCAGTGCCACCCCTCCTACCTGCACCCACATGGTCCTCAGAACAAGAACCACCTCAGGTAAGGCTTTCCTGACTTTTGGGTGGACATTTCTCAAAGGCAGCACTTGGCCTTGTCCGTATCTTGGGCCAGTAGGCTGATTGCTGCCTTGCAYAGGGCAGTAAAAGTGCTTTGGAAAATAGAGATTAATATCAAATAATTTCTGCCTTTTTCCTCCTAAAGAGGGTCAGAGGCATGGATTCACAATCCAGCAGTTGTAACTCTGTACACAGCTTTACTGCACCACAGGGAGTATGACCTCTGTGGCAAAGGGGAGAGGGAAAGTCAGAATTCTGATTTTTGCCTGCTGCCTTGCATCATCCCAGAAACAGCACACCAAGGGTGGGAGCTGACTGCACTTTGGCACATRTCAGCTGTGTTGGCAAATGTCACAGACCTCAAGGTTAGGGGCTTCACCTRCTCAGGTGAGCAGTGTGAACTGCCATGAGCCCCAGAATCTGTTCAAAATTGCCATGCAAGGAGCAATGAGGAGAGCCTTCCACTGGGGCCTCTGTGCTGGCTCCTGATGTGCCACTTGCTGTCACCCACAGCCCCAGTGCCGAATCAGACTGAATGCGTGTGTTATTTTTCTTGTAGTTGGATCCAACAGTTCTGGAGGGTCCCTCTGCTCCACCAGTGGCCGTGTTTATATGGGCTCTCCTCCCGGTATTTACATGGGCTCCTCTCCTCCCGGGGCTGAGGCAGCCCCGAGCCTGAAGTACATCCCCTATGGTACTTCACCTCCCAGCCTGGAGGGCTTTATCACTTTTGAAGCTCCAGAATTGCCTGAGGAAACTTTAATGGAGGTATAGAAACAATCATTTGATGTTTTCTAATGTGTGATGTTGCTGAAATAGAGATGTGGCTGCTCCGTGTGTTTTGTCGTTTCCTCTGTGCTGTCTCACATGTTGGGGCTTTTTTTTTGTTTAAGAACTTGAAAATATTGTTGTATCAATAGTTGCCAGTTTCTCTTTGGTAGTTATTGCTGGCATTTCATATAATTGAATAGGTAACCAAAGGAACATGAGTGCTTTTGTCCATCAGGGCCTCCCAGAGCAGGCTCTGTTTAATGCCAAGCCTCTGAAAGTGGGTGCTGACAGCAACAAAACCCCTCCAGCATTTCCTTGCTTCTTCACAGTCAGGGAATGACGTTAAATCCTACTTGTGGGAAGACTGTCCTATATTTCTTAAAATGTGTGGGACACTTTAGAATCACAAATGGGGTGGTCTTTCACCAGAATGCTATTCTTGGAGTGTACACTTCTCAAGACAGATTGCTGTTCTGTTTTCTCATTCACATCTTGCTGGAAGGTGTTTTGGTCCCTAYTGAATGTCTGTTATAATGTGAATGCTTAACAGTACACTGTGTTCTTCCCATAGAGAGTTTAAAATGTATTTAGACCTGTATTACTAATGAAAATATTATAAATGTTGCTAAGATGTGTTTGATTAGTTTTGAAGGTTTTTTTTAGCAGAAACTGTGCATGTGTAGTGTGTTTTACTGACAGAGCAGCAGTGAGCTGTTCACTCCAGTTGGATTTTTTAGTCTAAAGTGTAAATTTTGGCTACAGCCATCTTTTAACACAATTTAATCCTAGAACTACATGTAAATTAGAGTGAAGCAGATGTTCTTTTGTAGGTATTAAGTCTATTACATAATAAAAGCCAAATGTTCCTCCTGGCTTTTCATACAAGTGCCAAGCATACTTTTGTGTTGCTGATAATACAGTAAGTAGTTTGTCCCACTTGTYATTCCTTCAGTTCCTCAGGTTTCAGCAAACACAGAACTCCATGTACCAATTCCTTTGGCTTTGTTAAAAGACTCTTAAATATCASCTACAATATTTTGAATTCATTAACAAAGAGAGAACAAGTTCAGATCATTTGGGGCCCATTTGGTTCTGTCATCCCTAATGCTGGCTCTACCACAATGTGATTCCTGCACAGAACTGACATAGAAAGAATTGATCAAATGATTGACAAGTGTTTAAAATGTGGCTGATGGCTTAGAGTGGTTAAATTGCTGTCATCTTTCCCTCCAACAGAGAGAGCACACAGACACCCTGCGCCACCTAAACATGATGCTGACATTCACAGAGTGTGTTCTGGATCTGACAGCAGTGAGAGGAGGAAACCCAGACCTGTGCACTTCTGCTGTGTCACTGTACCAAATCCAGGAGAGCATAGTTGTGGATCAGATCAGCCAGCTCAGCAAAGAATGGGGGTGAGTATGCAGTCAAATAGGAGATTTACTGAAGATTCAACACATAAAAATTGTATTGAAACCCTGCCATTTCTGCTGGGAGTGATTGTTTTCCTGTATAGAATCTATAGGAATTAATTTTTTAACAACTGAAGACAGATSAGAAAGAGTCAAGACAAATAAAAGATTCTTTTCTGGTCTGCCACTTTTCTGGGGARAGTGGTGAGGAGTTCAGGCTTGAGGTGCAGCAGTGCATTTCTGAGCATGGAAATTTGTGTGCCAGCTTCTGTCAGAGCTGAGCCCTCATCCCTTTCCTGTTGACTGAAGCACTGAGGTGGAAGTTGGGAAGGGAGAAGTTTCTAAATTTGGCTTCACTGGAAAAAACAGTCAATGAGCCCTAATATAAAATCAAAAGCAATGAGAAATATGAGAAATTTGAAGTGGTGGGAAAGGGCAGTTCTACTTCCTACCTTCTTCCTGAAATACCTTTTTTTTTAAAACCAACAAAAAAACCCTGCAAAGTGTTTGCTTTTTACAAGTGAGAATTCCAGGGGGACAGGAAATGAAAAGTACACCCAGTCACTTGTGGTGAGACGCTGACCTCGGGCAGAGAGTCCCCACAAATAAGTGCTCCTTTTGAAAAYGTCTGCATTTAAAGCAGTTTGTCTTTGCTGCTGCAGCTCCTAAATGAGCAGATGTCCCCTCAGCCCGTGACAGGGTGTTTGTGAAGGGAAGGGAAGGGAGGGGTGGAGCTGCATTTTAAACATCTGTCTTCCTTTTCTGCTGTTGCTGGGTCCTGTGCGATGTTGTGATTCAAAAGTGGTGTCTGCCCATGGCTTGAATGCATTCAAAAAAGTCATTTTCATGCATAAGTTACTTTTTTCTCCCCTCTTCTCCCTAGACAAGTGGAGCAGCTGGTGTTGTACATGAAAGCTGCCCAGTTACTGGCATCTTCTCTGCACCTTGCCAAAGCACAGGTCAAATCTGGGAAACTGAACCCATCCACTGCTGTTAAGCAAGGTAGATGCAACATCTTCTGATTTGCTTTGCTTGGGAATTTTCTTTGCTGACACATCGCTCAGAAAGTTTAAGTTGCAACATTTGTTTTGTTTTTCTTCTCTACAGGAGAACTGTAGATATGTACAATTGCACAATTCTGATAGTAAACAGCCAAAACCAGTTAGGAAATGGGTATTTATTAACTTGAAATGGAAATGATTTGATAGATAAGTTATAGAAGTGGTGGAGTAAATAAACACTAAAAGCACAAGTTTAAACAAGTTTACTTTACTAGCACTGGGCAAAGCTGAACTGAGTTATTGTTTGGATTTTGTTTGTTTCGTTTTTTTCCTAAATTTCTTCTTACCTTTCTCCCAGTTGTGAAAAACCTCAACGAGAGATACAAATTCTGCATTGGGATGTGCAAAAAATTGACAGAAAAGCTGAATCGTTTCTTTTCGGACAAGCAGAGGTTCATTGATGAAATCAACAGTGTAACTGCAGAGAAACTCATCTACAGCTGTGCTGTGGAAATGGTAAAWCCCTCTTTTTCCCTAAATTTTAGGATTTGCCTCCTCTCACATATCTCCTCTACATGAGCAGAAAATAGAATTTTTATTTCCAGAATTCTGTCTGTGGTAATTTTTTGTTTGGTTTTTTACTTTCCTGCCCTGCCTTAACTCTGTGGCTGAAGTTCCTGGCAGGTGCTGTTCCAYAGTGACATTTCCCCTACATCAGCATGTTTGGTACACAAATACCTGGAAATGAACTCCTAAATCCCACAGTGCCAGCTTTCATCCAGGAAGGCTCACTAGAGCACTGGGGTAGCTTCATCAGTCTACCAGGTCAATTTGTACATCAGTCTGTTCACACGAAGCAGAGCTGGTGGCAAACGTGGGGAAGCTTCCTCATGTCATTGATATTTTCAGTAACCACACAGGAAACTGAAATGCTTTAATGATAAGAGAATTATTTGTGTCACACAAAAGATTCTGCCAAATGTTGTGGTTTACTCCCATAATGGTGCAGTTGTGCACAATTAATTTGTTTCTTTACAAGAGGTGTAAGAATGAGCATATTTATTCACATGCTGTTGTCAAACACAGGAACACAGAAGATCAAAAAGTGCTTTTTTAGTTTTTATGTGCACAATATTCCTAGTTAGCTGTGTCTTCTCAGAATCCCACAATGGTTTGGAAGGGACTTCAAAGTTCATCTAATTCCACCTTCACTTTGTTGTCTTAATTATAACACATCAGCTAAATTAAAGCTCAAAAATARTTTCTTAATGACACTTTTTGATGATTAATTCTACATTTTTCATTTTGCTACTTGCCTGATGCAGTTTCTTAAACTGAATGTCCTGACTGGTTGCAGGTGCAGTCAGCAGCTCTGGATGAGATGTTCCAGCAAACTGAAGATATCACATATCGATACCACAAGGCAGCCCTGCTGCTGGAAGGACTGACTAAAATCCTGCAAGACCCTGCAGATATAGAAAATGTACACAAGTGTAAGTTCACCTGAATAATGGAAGTTATCTGGAATTAACACATTGTAAAATAACTCTGGTCCTCACCTGGTTTGTGCCTCTCTCTGCAGATAAATCCAGCATCGAGCGAAGGCTTTCTGCACTCTGCTACAGCACAGTGGCTGTGTATGAGCAGTAGGAATATCCTGAGGACCAGATGGTGTGAACATAAGGGACCACATCAGTGATACTGCACTTTTTTCACTACAGCTTAATTGTTGTCCTTGTTCTGCCCCATGTGGAAGATGATTCTTACATTTCTGTGGTGACTACCAAAGAAACAGCAGCATATTCAAAGAGGAGAAATTCCAAAAGTACACTTGCCTTACCGATCCAGCAGCTCCTTTTCCTTCCTAGCAACAGAATTTAAAAGAATCTCTCTTCACATTTCAAACTGATCCTTGTACGTGTGCTTTGAACTTGAATGATCAGGGTTTGTTGTTTTTGCCTCGTGAGGTTTTTAGAGAGCGGATCCTTCTGCATCAGGTACAAAAAAAAAGACATTTCCCTCAGAAGATTCCCTCAAGAGTTTTTAAGTTGTTCAGTAAAATGTGGCCGAGTGAATTTGGGAAAYCCTAACCATGTGCAAGTGCTGCTTGAAGCTTTTTGGGGCTCAGCTGCCTTGTGTKGGAGCTCACCTGTTGTACACATGGCTCAGGTTGTCATATGAAGGGATGACAAACATTTTCTTACCCAGGGGAAAAGTGGGGATGGAAGAAATTCTCTCCATCTGTGCAAAAGCCCCAGGGGGTTTTCAGCTGATGTGGATACAATTTGATGATCTTCTTCCAAAATATTTTGTTTTGCACTAATTTACTAAAGCAACTGTATATTCATTTTTGAAGAACTATATTAAAAAAAAAATCTAGAGAAAGAAGGCACAATGGACTTGGCTGAATTTCATTTCAGTGTACATAAAATTCTTTTCAGAATTTCAAATGTAGCTTCGAGAAGACTTTCAAACAAACTGTGTAAAAACTTGTATTCATGTGAACCTTTCCATTTTATACCTATTTGTCTAATACTTGAGTAACTACTGCTCTGGACTTTCTCAGTAATAGCAATGTTGAGTTGCTGGTTGTTTGCTTTTTMTATAGATTTGGTTGCATCTTTTGTTGTGCATGCAATATGTGCATTAATGCCTGCAGTCTTTAGGGGTGTAATGACAGTTCTCTGTAGTTTGTTTCTTGGGCAGTATTACAATAAATACTGTAAACTGAAAGG